CCACACAGCTTGGTGGTGTTGGCAAACTTGCCCTGCATTGCTTCAAGCCCGCAGTACCCATGAACACGCAGGCAGTGGCTGTGGTCTCAACAGCTCTTCCTCCCTGCCCTGATCCCTGTGGATCTGTTGCCCTGTGGCTGGAGGGGTCATGGCTTGGGTTGAGCTAGGTGGGCATGGCAGCACACTGGGGGTGCAGAACGGAGAGGAAAGGAGAGGGTGCAGGGAAGAGAGAGCACTAGCAATGCCTCTGTGTCCTGCACCTCTGCTCTGGACTCTCCTGATTCTGCTTTCCTGCTCCTGCCTTTTTTGATCTATCTCAAACATGTAAATAAATAAGAACAATTAGAAAAGGGCCTATTTACAGACTCCTAGTGCCTCTTGTCACTGGAATAGCCCACAGTACACATGGTAGTGTATTTGTAGAGGCTTCGGCCTGCAGGTGTTTGCTGTGTTGTGTTCAGGCTCCACAGAAAAAGTACTTTTAAAAAATTAGAATCTTGGCCAAAGTTATTTTTAACTTTCAGCAGCACTTCTGAAGTGGTTTTGTATTGTGAACAGACCACAGCAAGATTTATTATACTTTCATTTTTTCACCAAAGGAAAATACATTTTTTTAGGCCAAAATGTGGGGCTTGATATCTTTTTCTTAAATACATATGTAACATGTATATTTTTCTTAGCTGAAAGGTGGATATAAAAAGCATCTGGGCACGTGGGGGCTGCTTAATGGATGGGAAAAGTGAGTTTCTTTGACAGTTCCAGGTTATCTGGGACATAATGATTCTTACATGAGTTGTCCCCATGCCTGATGCTCAGCTGGATGATATGGCTTGGTAGAACAAAGAATCATAGAATCACAGACTGGTTTGGATTAGAAGGGATCTTAAAGCTCATCCATTTCCAACCCCTTGCTGTGGGCAGAGGCACCTTCCACTAGAGCAGGTTGCTGCAAGCCCCGTCCAACCTGGCCTTGAACACTGCCAGGGATGGGGCAGCCACAGCTTCCAATCCAACCAAAACCATTCCATTTGATGATTCTATGATTCATCAAACACAAAATGCTGATCAGAGGCAATATATAGAAAGCACCATAATGATTTACCTAAAACCAGAACTTTGCAGCAAGAAACACGATTTTACTGTTTGTTTTAAAATTGTGATTGAATTGGTAAATTATTAGTGCTGTGTTATGATTCTTGCAGCCCTGTAAACATTGGGGTTCTTGTGAGTAGCTGTAATGCTGACCCTGCTCATTGTTTGCTTTGCAGGAGGTGTACCGGATCCCGAAGAAGAGTCAAGCAGAAAAGGAGAGCAGCGGTATGTAGTCACATTTTCCTATGTATCACTCTGTTCCTATGAATCTACTTAATTTTCCCAGTCTGGGATGTCAAGAGATGTTCTGCCTTTGTGTTGCTACTCCTTTAAAACAGTTTCTTTAAATAGGAAGGTTAATCTTAGCAGTGGGTGGTGGGAAACGGAACCCTGAGGCTGATATGGGGCAGCCTATAACTTGTTTGAATGAAGACTCTGTTGACTACTGCTCTGTTGTTGGGGGAATTCCTGTTGGACACAGGAAGAAAAATTTTCACCATGGGAACAATAAGCCACTGGAATAATCTCCCTAGGGAAGTAGTGACCCCCCAGCATTGGACACAGTTAAGACTGGGCTGGATATGGTGCTGGGCCATCTAGTCTGGGTTATGCTTTGCCTGGAAAGGTTGGTGATCCTTGAGGTCCCTTCCAACCTGGGATCCTATGGTTCTATGACTAGCAGAAGTCACGGAAACTGCAGGAAAACGGAGCTAGAACTACTCTGAATTACAGTTCTCTCCCTTTTATCGATGTTCCCCAGCAGCTGACCGTGGGAGAGAGACAGCCGGCCCCAAGGACCAGACTCCTACTCCGAAGAACCCCATCCTGAGTAGAGAGCGGGATCCCGAGCGGCAGAGCCAGAGTAAAGAGAAGAAGAGACGGAGGGACTCGATGTCCCCTCCATCCTCAGCGTATGAGCGAGGAACAAAGAGGCCGGATGACAGGCAAGTTGTCTGGCAGCAGTGGTGGCAGGGCTGAGGATGTGACTGCTGGACTGGGAGCGTCGGATCTGTGGTAGTCCTGGGTCAGAGCTCTGGGAAAAATGGTCCTGGTGATCTCTGGAAACACCCAGGATGGAAAAGGGAATTTTCTCCTGGAGGAATCCTGTGTGAGTGGTGAGATGCATTCTCTGGCCAGAGCTGTGTGGCTCCTTGCTGTTAGGTGGTCTCTCCTTTTGGATAACCTTTGTCTTCAGGCATGTTCTGGGAATTAGATGGATGATTGTGGGAGCTATATCCAGCTCTCACACAGGAATGTGGGATGTAGCCCTCCTAATGCAAAGAGGTCTTCTGAGTCCATCAAAACTGATTCCTGTCTACATCCCCTCTCCTGAGTGTGTTTGGGTATTATGACTTGACTTAGAACAAGCCTGTGCCTGTAGAAAAGCTATCAATGCACGCATCAAACAGGATTTCTAAATCAAAACAACTTTCATGACAAAATGAGCATCTCCCAAAACCAGTAAGTGCAAGGGAAGCAATCCAGGTAGGTATAACCTCGCCAAGCTGTTTCCATGTCTCCTGCCTTCCCCTGGGGATGGCAGCATCACACTGCACTGGCTGGGAAGGCATCTTCTAAGTTTTAAAGACCTTTGAGTGACCAGCAGGTCGAGGGAAGGGATTCTCCCCCTCTACTCTACTCTGGTGAGACCCTCCCCTGCAGTCCTGCCTCTGGCTCTGGAGCCCCAATACGAGAGGGGCGTGGAGCTGTTGCAGCAAGTCCGGAGGAGGCCACAAAGATGCTCTGAGGCTTCAGCACCTCTGCTCTGGAGACAGGCTGAGAAAGCTGGGCTTTGTTCAGTGTGGAGAAGAGAAGGCTCTAGGGGCAGCTTAGAGCAGCTTCCAGTGCCTAAAGGGGCCAACAAGAAAGCTGGAGAGGGGCTTTTGACAAGGGCCTTAACGATAGGACAAAGGCATTAAACAGCCAGAGGGGAGATTTAGATGAGCTATTAGGAAGAAGTTCTTCCCTGTGAGGGTGCTGAGGCCTTGGCAGAGATTGCCCAGAGAAGCTGTGGCTGCCCCATCCCTGGCAGTGTTTAAGGCCAGGTTGGAGGGGGCTTGGAGCAACGTGGTCTAGTGGAAGGTGTCCCTGCCCATGCCAGAGGGGTTGGAACTGGATGCTGGTTCCCTTCCAACCCAAACCATTCTAGGATTTTGTGATTTTTACTTTCTGTTTCTTTTTTGTGGGCGCTCTGTTGCCCCATGGATTCCCACCTACCCTGCAACTGATGGACACAAGAGAATATGGGGACTTCAAATTAGCTTACAGCTTATTAAAAAAAGGCTTTTTAAGCACAGGTTGTCTCGGGAAGCAAGGCACAAAGTCTATAAACTCGATTGACAGTATAAAATATTTTAAATTCCAGTGCACGCAGATGCTGAAGATAAAGTAGAAAATAAAAGTATCCATTTGTGCTAGCATGAGTTGCACCCTTCTACATTAAATACTTCTGCTAACCAGGTCTGGTGGGATGGGTGTTTAGAAGTGTAAAGGCTAGATAACTGAACTATAGACATCTTTTGTCTTGGTGAGTTGTTCAGTTCAAGGAGCAAGCAGTAAGAGAAAATATTTTTAATTATTAGCTGTTCTTCCAGATTTTAAGTGGGAATCAGATCAGTTCAGAGACCCTGGCATCCACCTGAGCCTGTGCTGGCTCCTGAGTGCCCCAGAGCGTGCAGCTGGCACAGACAAGCCCTCCTGAGGCCAGAGGAGCGATAGAGGTGACAGTTGTGGCAGGGCTGGCCCAAGGCAATGCATGAATCAGTGGCTGCTTGTTACCATATATCCATTTTCCTCCCTCAAAAGTTGCTTCTTAATTAAGAGAAGGAAAATATTTCGTGTCTTGCATTTCAGGGAGACTTCAGATCATGTTAAAGGCGGTAAGAATACCAAGGAATTTCCTTTAAAGAAATCAGTTTTCTGTTGTCTGTCCCTCTTAAATAGGATCTAAAGCCACTTAGTAATTAGGGAACAATTGGTGATGAGCCAGCCAGACAAGGAAACTTTTGTCCTTGTATTGAGCTGTGCTGAGAAAGTTTAAAACATCTGGATTTAAAAAAAAAAAAAAAAAGGATGTAAATCTATACCGCTGTAATTAGCCATTTGGAGGATGGAAACATCACTGAGGGCTGGGGGTGGAAATGGAGCTGAGTAACAGCGGTGTGTCAAGAGAGATGAAGAAGGATGGAATAAATAGTTGTGGGGTTTTTTTGTGTTGTTTTTAACAGAACAAGGTCTTTGGTGGGCAAGGAGTTGCCTGCTCTGGCTCTTCCCTCCTGTGGCCATGTCCTTATCGGTGAGCAATGCTCACAGGGAGAAGGACCGGGGTGCTGGTATCCTTCTTCCTGCTCAACTGTCCCCCTTTGTATTTGTTCCATGAAGGGTTTAATAAGACAAAATAATAGGTGAAGAGAGAAGGAGAGTAAATCCAAGAGTGTTGCTGGCTTGCTTGACACTAAACCAACCCAAACCATTCTATGATTCTAAGCCCTCAGTTTTCTTCTGCCCATCCCTTCATGCCAGCTGCTTCTCGTGTAAACTCTCCAGGCAGTGCCAGGAAAGACTTCAATTACTGAAATCGAACCCTTCACGTCAATAAGGTTCACATTAACGGATCCTTGCAGCTACTCTGGGAATGCGAGGAAACATCCTAAGTGTGTCTGTTGGTAGCAATGTGCTTTTGATATGTAAATGGAACACATGAACGTTGAGTGACTATGTAGAGAATATGCTGGATGCTTTGTAGAATCCATTATATTAGGGCGGCAAAGCATTTTTGCTTGTAATCCCTATGTTACCACACTCATAACTTCTCAAAATACCCACCTTTGATCTGAAATTTTCCCTGGTTGAGGTCTGATCAAAGTCCTTAGGCTTTTTTTTTTCTTCTTTAACTCCTTGGAAAAATCCCTCCAGCTGCTCTGTGTCTCGGGATGAAAATTCTTACTTGTAAAAAAGAATTTAAAAAAATCTGTCCACACTTATCATTATTTTCTAAGCTGAATCTGTGGTCTAGTAAATAGCATAACTCTAAACAGAAACGTGCTGTTTGTAATTCCCTTGTTCTTCACGAACATGCCTGTGCCTGCAGCTCCAGTGTGGTCCTTAGACAAGATAGATGGGGAGCTGCCCTGATCTAAGGGGGTGAAGGTGTTGTGGTATAAGCTGCACCTTCTGTTTGGAGAGCCTCTTCCAAAACCCTTCTTTGTCGGTCGTGCCTTGGAAAACTGTGGCAGAGGGTCTCCAGCATGGGCACTCAGCCTTTTTGGGAGGCATCCTGCTTATACTACCCTCCCCTCGGTTCCCCTTTGGCCCTGGAGATGTTGCCTCCCCTCTCTGGGTATCTCAGTGCTGCCTGGCCAGTCCTCCAGACAACTTCTGCTGCATTTTTGCATCTCTGTTAGCTTTAGCACTGACCTAAAGCTGGTAAATCCAGTGCAACCACTTAGCTCATCCCCTGCCCTGGCTCCTTGCTTGATGTGTTGCTATGTATGGTTGGTCAAGCAGCTGAAAACAAATGAATGTTTTTAGCAATTGTTGCTTCTGTTGAGCATCTGGTCTCCACCAGGTCTGCCACTGTCTTTTGTGGCTGGAGCCCTGGATCTGCAGTTTCCAAGTCTCTCACAAAACCTTTTCTGTCTCTCCCAGGTATGACACACCAGCATCTTCAAAGAAGAAAGTCCGGCTTAAGGATCGCAACAAGCTGTCCACGGAGGAGCGCAGGAAGCTGTTCGAGCAGGAGGTTGCCCAGCGGGAAGCACAGAAACAGCAACAGCAACTGCAAAACCTGGGCATGACGTCCCCCCTGCCCTACGACTCCATGGGCTACAGCACGCCCCACCACAGCTTTATTGGCTACCCACCTGGCTACCCCATGCAAGCCTATGTAGACCCCAGCAACCCCAACGCTGGCAAGGTGCTGCTGCCCACACCCACCATGGATTCCATGTGCTCACCAGCGACGTATGAGCACCCACAGACTTTGGTTGGGCACACGGTGGAACCAACCCTCACTACTCCTCAGCCGGTACCAGTAGTCCAACATGTAGCAACAACGATGGAGGTGACAACTCCGCAGTATGTAGCACAGAGCGATACCGTGGTTCATCAAGAACCCAATGTGGCCGTCCTGCCTGTGGCCACATCAGGACCAGTGCAGAGCCAGAGCTATGGGGTCTGGGATTCCAGCCAGCAGACTGTAGCTGTACAACAGCAGTACTCACCAGCCCAGTCCCAACCAGCCATATATTACCAAGGACAGACTTGTCAGACCGTTTATGGTGTGACATCCCCCTACTCGCAGACGACCCCACCGATTGTACAGGTAATTTCCATTTCAGGCATGGCATGGCATGAAACATCTGCAAAATGAAGGGTGCCATCCTGCAGCTGGGAAAAACACTATTTGCTTGGTCTGTGTTAGTGCTCTGAATATTAGAGCACCCTACTTTGCTCTGTTATTAAGCTTCAGTAGCACTTCTCGCATAACTTCCCATCCAAGAGCATGTGAAAAGCACATTTAGGTTGGTATTTCTTTTGTACAAACACTATAGATTTATAAAGCCATGGAATCCCAGAATGGCTTAGGTTGGAAGGGGCCTTAATGCTTATCTAGTTCCACCCCCTGCCACAGGCAGGGATAACTTCCACTAGAGCAGGTTGCTCAAAACCCTGTCCAACCTGGCCTTGAACACTGACAGGGATGGGGCATCCATTATATCTCATAGTTGTTGGGGTCAAGCAGGAGTTTATGGCTTGTTGAGATATTTTTAACCTGCTTATGAAAGTAACGTTGTTTTGGGGTTTTTTTTGATTGTTGATTCTGGTGAAATGGATATTTCTGGGTAAGAGCTTCCACTGACGCTGACCAAATAAGCAGTAGAACATCGAGGTGTAAGCTTGCCTTCTTTTGGCTTTTGGAAGTGGGGTCTGGAACTGCCAGCTCCTGTATGACTTAAACCAAACAAAATACCAAACAGATAAACCTTTTTAATCTGTTTTCTCTGAATTACATGTCCTCTTTTGTCAGGCTTAGCCTGGAGCTCCAAATGACCACACTTTATCCTTCTGCTTTTTCTTCACTAACAAGGGTATTGGTGTTCAGTGTCTTCACAATGCCTAATTCTTCCTAAAATCAAGATGAAGGCCATTGTACGGCTCTGGGATACTTCGTTAGGCTTGGATATTATCTTCCAGTAGTCCTCGAGGACTATTATCCATTTCTTGCTTTCACTCTTTGATTTCCAGTAAAGGAAACTGTACTCTGTCCTCCAAAAAAGGGTGTTTTTTTTGGTAAAGCAGGCTGATTGATGATTCCCCATGCTCTGTTTCAGAGTTACGCCCAGCCAGGTCTCCAGTACATCCAAGGCCAACAGATTTACACGGCTCATCCACAGGGAGTCATAGTACAGCCACCCACAGCAGTAACGACCATTGTTGCAGCTGGGCAGCCTCAGCCCATCCAGCAGGTAGGGCTTGGTGGGTCAGAAGGGATGGGGAACATTCTTCTACGTCTGCTTTGGGTTTGCATGATTCTCCATATCTTCTGGATGCTGCAAAGGCAGTGGTGGTACCAGCTGGAGGAGTTTCTCATGTGGCAGCGTGCTGGTACTCTTTGGGATGCTGCTCTCCAGGCTGAATGTGTGCATCAGACACATTTCTGGGGGTTTTGAGCCCAGATCTTGTGTTTAGACTTTCTGCCAGCACATCAGGAGAAGGCTGTGTGTGGGCATGTGGACATGTGGAAGCTCCGCAACCTGCTTTTGGTGCTGAAACACCTCCATCAGAATTGGTGGTTTTGGCATGCACCACAGAGAATTCAAGAACATAGGTGGCAAAGCAGCTGATATTACAAGCTCAGGATGTGGTCAAGTGGGTACTTGGGGTATTAGATGAAGCACTAGGAAGAGATACTGTCCTCAATACTTCGGCCAACACTAGTGTCGTTCTTAAGGTTTACCTTCAACAAAGTCTTTGTTGTGGGGGAGAGAGCTGTCAGGGTTACTCTGACCCCTTTCATGACCACTCACATCTTTCTCTTCACTCCTTTTGTGCTATTTTTAGCCAGAGCTTGTGGTGACCAATAACCTCCTGGACTTGCCTCCACCGTCCCCTCCAAAACCCAAAACGATTGTCCTCCCACCCAACTGGAAAACAGCCCGAGATCCAGAGGGGAAGATATACTACTACCATGTGGTAACGAGGTAAGCATGATAATGAGGTAAGCATGATAACAAGGTGAGCATGATGGTTGCTTCAGGGCTAGAGTTTGAGATAGTTCTGCAGAAATGTGCTTCTTGTGTGCAGTGAGCCAAGGAGAGCTCTAGCCTCTTCTGGTGTATGCCTGAACTTCCTGGCATCCACCCTTTCAAACTCCTGCTCTTTTCCTGTGGCCTTTCTTACAATCTTTGGTCAGTGTCCTTTCCATGATGAGATACCCATGGCTGAACTTTTGGCTTTAGGTGCCAAGGGCTGACCCTTGCTCTGCACAAAAATGTTCTCCAGGGTCTCTGCTGTGATGTCTCACATCTTTCCATGCTAGAATTGCCAACCTTCTTTATTTCCTGCCTGTGATGAACTTCCCTGATTGACATTAAGCATCACCAGTAATAGAAAATTGTGCAGATTCCCTTCTGAAGTTCTTCTTGCTTGGCTTTAGCCTTCTCCGACTCAGAAGCCTACTCAACTCATCATTAATAGCAAGATGGGGCCATGTGTTACACCCATGTTAAAGAGTTCTGATGACTGATGGATGTCCCAGTTGATGGGACAATCAATAAGCAGGTACCAGTTACTTGTAAAAGGGTGACAATGGTCTGTCTGTCTGTCTTCCTCCAGACAAACTCAGTGGGACCCTCCTACCTGGGACAGCCCAGGGGATGATGCCAGCCTTGAACATGAAGCTGAAATGGACCTTGGGACCCCAACTTATGATGAAAACCCCATGAAGGTAAGTGCGGGATCAGGAAGGAAAAACGCGGTGTTAGATCTCTTTGACAGACCATGGGGACAATCCTGTCCTGTGGAGCAAGAGCAGCAAACACCAGGGCTGTTGCTGAGGGTGGCATGGACTTGGGGGATGACAGAGGGACGGAAGTGACCCAGGATAAGCTGTAGTGGCTTTACTGACCATAGGGCCACTGTTTTTTTGTGCTTTAAAATAGTGGTAGAGGATTAGCGGTGTTATGTTGTTCTTTTCTTGCCACTCTGAAATGCATGATGAAATAGGCAGCGGTGCCTGGTAGCTGCTGAAGAGCAGCTTCCTCTTGTTGCTGCCAGGTTTTGCCCTGGTGATAGATAGTCGAGAAGAGAATTTTTGTGGTGCCCTTACCTCCTTGTCCTTCTGGGTGCTGATTGGTAAAGACCCTGGTGCTCCTTTGTTCACCTCTTGGGCTGTGCTGACTGCGGCTTGGGTGAATACAGGACTTCCCTGGAGTGCAGGTCATGTTCTGCCCTGGATGCCAAGCATCACTGCAACCTCCTTTGTGGAAATGACCTTAAACTGGCCAAAAAAGGGGTTGTGAAAGTGGATAACGAAATAGGAACAACTAAGGGTGCAGCAGCAGAAGCAGAAGACCTAGGAGCTCTGTGCTGCTTCCACCACCAGCTGCCTTTTCTGCTTTCCTGGTGAATGCTGCAGCATCTCCATCGCTCCTGCTGTCAAAGGTACCACCTTTGAGGATGGAGCTGCTCTCCAAATGGGGCTTGATTTTCAGCTGGGTCCCTCTGCAGCCACAATGCTTGTCAGGAGGGGACTTGGCTGAGCCATCTGCCATTGGTGTGCATTTCCAGTTCTGGCAAAGCAGGAGGGCAGAGTCTGAGCAGTGGTTGCTGAGCCCCTGTAGATACATCACCCTATATACCTTTCTGATTCCCTAAAAAGAAGAGAGAAGGGCTGTGAAAAGAAAGGTTTGTTGGGTCACAACTCTCAGGGAGCAATTCTGTCAATGCTCAGGTGGTACCCACATATCCAGGACCGATTTTGCTGTAGGTACTGAAGGCATTGTACATCCTACAGTGTCCAGGGATATCCCACTGTGCTGCCATCACCTTTCTCATGTGCTGCCAGGATCCTAAGGGTTAACCCAATCCCCATAACACCTCAGTGCTTAATTCCTGGCGAGTTCACTGAAACTACATTATTTATAAATACTTACCTCCCTGTAAAACAGTTAATTATAAAATGAACTGAGACCGGGCACATGCCGCTCGGCTGAGGAGCCTTTACTTCTGCAGAGCTTTGCAGAAAAGCTTTTTAGATTATTTTTGTCCTTGGGTCAGCATCACACATACCCCACCAGCATTCCCTGTGGTGAAAAGGAGCTAATAGTCACGGCACTAGGAGGATCCATCAATGTGTGAGTGTCCTGGGAGTGCTGGGGCTTGATGGACCCCTTGCGTGAGCTTTGGGCTTAGTAGTGTGCAGAAACCTTGTGTCGCGCTGCTCTGGCTACTAAGTAGCTCAGAGCATCATGCTCAGGAAGAGCATTAAAACCTGACCTTGTGCAGCTTTATGAACACCCCAGATGACTCCGGCTGAAAGAGCAACAAATATTCTTCATTAGCCTGTTTTCTGTAGCACGTTTTGTTTCTGCGGGAAGGGCTTGCTCTGTGCTTGCCTTGAGTTGATCCCAGTTTATCTGCACTTGTTGCTTCTGGGTTTGGATTGCAAATTGCTGTTGAAGGATGTCAGCATGCAAAGCGAGACATGAGATCCTGTTAATCAGAGACCTTCGTTTTAGGCTTTAAGGTGAGGATTTCTTAATAGCTGTAAATTGCATCCCCGCAGAAGGATTTGCTGCACCAGCTGTACGTGTAGTGGTGTGGACCAGCCTGGAGGTATTGGGGAACTTCCTCAGGATGCTGAGAAGAAGATTGGGCTCTTCTGAGTGAAAAAAGAGAGTTGTGCTGTGGCTTTGCAGCTTGGGCATCTTTTTCCTATGGACTTCTGAGGATCTCAGCAGTGCCTGTAGCTGCAGAGGGAGCAAGGAAAGATGGTTCTGTAAATGCAGGCAGGTGTTTACATGCCAGATTCAAAACTTTTGGGGTAAAAAACGTGCTGAGGAGAGGGTCAGTGCTCAAAGGGCTTTGACTTGGGGCAGATGTGAGCTGGCTGCTTCTGCCAGGAGTTTTTTGCTGCTCACTCAACCCCCTAAATCCCTGTTTTCCGGTGCAAAACTTCTCTGAAGCCATCAACACTTCGTTCCTAGATTAAGACTGACCGCGCAGCATTGGCTGACCTTATGGTGATGTGGTTCTTACTCTCTGTAGAACTTTAAATCTTGTTTCTCTCAGCCAGGATGGCCTGAAGGTTGGGTTTTTCCCACTCATGGAAATAACATTGAATTCCCCTGTGGTCATAGCTCGCTCACTGCCGCCTCCGTAATAATACTTCCACCCTGAAATTGCAACCACATTCCCAGGATTTTTGTACACTCTCCTCCGCACCCTGCACCTTTTCCATGAGGGATTAAACCCACCAGCATCGCAGCTCCGGCCGTCCGACAGCTGCTGCTGCTATTCCTGGTGTCCCCCAGCCACATGGCACCGGCAAAATCCTTGCGGTGGCGGTGCCCGGGGTATATTATTTCCTCCAGAGCGTGTTCAACCCTCTTCTGAGCATCATCTGCTCCCTTCTTGATACCCTCCAAGCCCCGGCATCGCCACGGCTGGTGTCAGTGGTGGGTGAGCTCGCCTGGGGCTTACATGCTGGTAGAGGAATTTTGATGGAAAGGTGCAAGAGGCGCACAAAGCCATGCTCACTATGTCCCTTTTAGGCATGTTTTAAACCCTGCTTTTTCCCTTGGAAAAGGGGTTTCATGAGAGGGGTGCCCCGGGGAGCACTCAAGAGAGGTTGTGCCAAGGACACAAGGCTGTAAGAAAAGATGGAAAAAGTCCAGATTTATTACAGGACTGTGTTTGTGTCTTTCTGCGTATTGGTTTCTTGCTCTTCTCCCACCATTGCTGTTTTTTCCCAGGTTTTCTCCCACCAATGTTGGTTTTGCATCATCCCAGGTTGGTTTTTCCCTAACAACTTTTTTGCTGGCTTCTCCATCCCCAGCTTTCATACCCAGCAAGGCTGATCATATGAATACCACAATTTTTGGGGTCTTTCCCTGTGTTACAGTTTTCCTGGTGGGCAGCATGGCCCTGGATTAGGGGAATGCTTTGGAGGGGCTATGGGGGAAGCACTGTGGTCATGTCCATGCAGGCTAAAGCCCTTTGATAAACTCAGTCCCATTGTTACCAAACGGATCCCCATGTAGAAAATCACTCCTCCTTTGTGCTGGCTCCGGGGAATTAAGAGAAATTGGGGTGTGCTGGAGATGCTGGGGAGATGGAGAAGATCTAGGCGATGGAAAGTGGCAGGGCTTGATGATGCCGCCACAGTGCTGGTGCCGGTGCCATGCCAGGAGCCAGCAGGGAGCCATCTGCTCCCCATCACTGGCCTTTTGATGTTGCTACCCGAGCCCTGGGGCAGGGAGTGAAGAGCTTTGATGTGCAGCCAGCCCAGAGACACACCAGTGCTCTCTCAGGACAGCCCTCGGCAGTAAAACCTCCCTGTCAAGGGTTGATTTAAACCCTGCAATGGTTTGTTCACGGGACTTTGCAGCTCTGCCCTCCAGCCTCAGCCATGCACGCCTTTGGGATTTGAAAGGGATGGGATAGCTGGTTCCTGCTTTTTTCAGTGTTAAGTGCTTTGAAAAATTGGTGTGTTTTAGTTAAAAGAAATACCAAGCCACCTTCAAAGAACAAATCTCCCCCAGCTTTTCAAGCCTTTACCACACCCTTTTAACAAGTCTCCGTCTTTAAAATCCAAGTCATGATAACCTGCGATACACAAACCTCTCCCAGAAAACAGTGCCAGAGGAGAGAGCCTGCTTTTCACTCTCTTAGAAGCTGAGGAGGTCGCAGGGTTCAAAGGCAAAGCCTGCAGGGCTGGGCATCCGTGGATGCTCACTGGGATGCAGCCAGTGTAATTTCTACTCCATTAACGCAGGCAGCGAATTAAATTAGCCAGTTCTTGTGCTCTGTGGGATTAGTATTTAGGGGAATGGTCAGAAATTTCTGTAAAATTCACCTTTATCCTTCTGAGAGCATCTGTAGCCAAGAAGAGGTGGTAGATGCACCATCCCTGGAGACATTCAGAGCCAGACTGGATGTGGCTCTAGGCAACTGATAGTTGAAGATGTAATCCCTACTCATTGCAGGGGGGCTGGACTAGAGACCTCTGAAGGTCCCTTCCAACCCAGACCATTACGTGAGTTTATAATCTACTGTAAATCCTCGCCAGCAGGGTCCCAGCCCTTGCAGTGCTTTCAGCACGAGGTTCCAAATGTGTGCCAGCAAGCCAGGCAGGCCTTTCCAGTGGGGATGGTTCTGCCGGAGCTGATGGCTTTGATTCATGGGCTGAATAAATGTTGCTTCAGCAGCCCCTGGAGTGGGCTTGGGACAGTGTTCCCCTCACCTGGGTGTCCAGCTGGGCTGAATCCATCCCTGCAAATCATTGTTGTGCTGGTAGTTTGGAAATGGGAGGGGGCAAACTCTGCTTCGTCCTCCCCTCACCTCCAGGTGAAGATAATTTCTCATACTGTAGAGCTGCTCCCAGCCCCCAAACCAGCCCTGCTCCCCAAGACCAGCTCACCCCCATTTTCCAGCTTGCTTTTCCAAAGAAAACAAGGGCGAGGAGTGGCCCCTGCAGCTCCCAGGGGGTTGTGCTCCCAGCCCAGCAGTCTAGCTGGAGCACACTGGGAAGCATGCTGGGACCATGCTGGGGGGCACTTTGGGATCAGGTTGGGAAATGCACTAGCACCAGGTTGGAGAGCGTCCCAGGATCAGTCTGGGAGGTGCACTGGTATTGGGCTGGAGCACACCAGTACTGGGCTACGAAACATGCCAGGATCAGGCAGGGGAGCGCACCAGCATTGGGCTGGGAAGCTCAGGGGTAACAGGCTGGGAACCATGCCTGGATTGAGGTGAGGAGCATGCCAGCATCAGGCTGGGAAGCGCACTGACGCTAGGCTGGGAAGCATGTCAGGGGAAAGACAGTGGGACTTGGCTGGGAAGCTTACCAGGAACAGGCTGGGAAGTGTGCCTGGAGCAGGCTGGGAAGCGTGCCTGGAGCAGGCTGGGAAGCATGCTGGCATTGGGCTGGGAAGTGCACTGGGACCAGGCTGGGAAGGGGTTTGGGAATGGGCTGGGAAGCTCACCAGGACCAGCCTGGGAAGCATGCCTGAATTGGGCTGGAGAGCATGTGAGCACTGGGCTGGGAAGCTCACTGGGACTGGGCTGGGAAGTGTGCTAGGACTGGGGTGGAGAGCATGCCAGCACTGGGCTGGGAAGCTCACCGGGACCAGATTTGGAAGGGTGCCTGGATTGGGCTGAGGAGAGTGCGGCTGGGAAGTGTAACAGGACCAGGACCAATGTGTGTTGGCATTGGGTGGGAAGTTCATTAGAAGTGGATTGGGAAGCTCACCAGGAGGAAGCAGGGAAGTGTGTGCTTCCCACCTGGCTGTGGGGCAGGATTGGGCAGGAAAATTACTGTGCCCAAGGTGAGGACAGGGATGGGTGATCCTGGCTCGCTCTGGGCAGCATCGGAGATCTTCTTCTTCCTTCCCTCCATTCTAGTCTTCCAAGAAGCCCAAGACGGCGGAAGCGGACACGTCGAGCGAGCTGGCCAAGAAAAGCAAGGAGGTGTTCAGGAAAGAAGTGAGTGTCCCCACTGCCTGGGTCGGGGGGTGTCACTGTCCAGGGGGTCACTGGGTCTCCGGGGCCACGTCGCCGTGGGGCTGGTGAGCATGGGCAGGGCCACATCCTGGTCTCCTCTCGCGCAGATGTCGCAGTTCATCGTGCAGTGCCTGAACCCGTACCGCAAACCCGACTGCAAGGTGGGGCGCATCACCACCACCGAGGACTTCAAACATCTGGCGCGCAAGGTGGGGACACGCAGGGACAGGGGGATGGCTCCTTCCTCCCTGGGGCGGTCGTGTCAGCACTTCTGCCACTCGTCTTGGGGGATAAGGGAAGGAAAATAGTGGTGTTGGGGAAATCGGCTGATCTTGGGGGAATAATAGGGAATACAGGACGGGGGGGTAATGGGAAATATTTGGGGAATAATAACAAAATAGTTTGGAGAATAATAGGAAATACTGGGGGAATATTTGGGGGGAAATAGCAAATGTTTGGGAATAATAAATATTAGGGGAATATTTGGGGAATAATAAGAAATGCTTGGGGAATATTGGACTATTCGGTGAAAATAGTAAATATTTGGGTAGTATTTAGGCAATATTGGGGTATTTTGGGGGAAAATAGCTAATATTTGTGGAATAATAGTAAATACTAGGGGAATATTTGGAATAATAGGATATATTTGGGTAATATTTAGGGACTATTTGGGGAATATTTGAGGAAAACCGGCAAATATTAGAGGAACAATAGGAAATATTTAGGCAATATTGGGGGATATGTGGGGAATATTGGGACTATTTGGGGGAAAATAAAATATTGGGGGAATAATAGGAAATATTTAGGTAATATTTGGGGGAAAATAGCAGATATTTGCAATAATAGCTAATATTTGGGGAATACTTGGGAAAATAGCAAATATTTGGGAAATAATAGCAAAATAGCTTGGGGAATAGTTGGGGACTAATAGCCAATATTTGGGAAATATTTAGGGAATAATAATAGATTGGGAGAATGAGAATAATGGCAAAATAGTTTGGGGAGTAATAAATATTTGGGGAATATTTGGGGTATAATAGCGAATATTTGGGGACTAATAGCTGATATTTGGGCAATAATAGGAAATATTTAGGGAATAACAGCAAATGTTAGGGGAATAATAGCGAATAATTGGGGAATAATAGTAGAATCTAGGGAATAGTAACAAAATAGCTTAGGGAGAGTCCCCAAGACGTGGACTATCGGAAATAACAGTGGGTGTTCTCTGCCTGTCCTCTCCCCTGCAGCTGACTCACGGAGTCATGAACAAGGAGCTGAAATACTGCAAGAACCCGGAGGACCTGGAGTGCAACGAGAACGTGAAACACAAGACAAAAGAGTACATCAAGAAATACATGCAGAAATTCGGGGCCATCTACAAACCCAAAGAGGACACGGACCTGGAGTAACCTCCGCCTCGGACGCGCCGAACCCCGGGATAACCCAACTCCACCAGGATTCACCATGTTAAACCACCAACCTGTGAATTTACTCATTTTATTTCTCTTTGGTTTTCTTCAAAGAAAGGAAATAAACTAGGTTCCCTGTGGGGGGAGCGGTCCGTGCTGCCGGGTCCAAGCCGGCTCCCTCACCCCAGTGCTGCCATCGGGCGCACCACCAACCTCTGTATTATATTTTAACCTATATGTGAATATATGGATAATTTTTCCTTTGTTTTCCCTTTTTTTCCCCTGCTTCTAGCCCAAGACGTGCCGATCCCACAGGAACACTTTCTAAGGATAGTTTGGGGGTTTCTTACTTTGGCTTTTATTTTGTTTCTTGGTTGGTTCCTTGGTTTTACTTTTGGTTCCGCGAGGTTTAATCTCTTCTCATTGTAAATAGTGCGGAGCGGGGCTGCCCCCGGGTTTCTGGCAGGCCTCGTGCTATGTTGATAAGATTGATTTTACTGCTTAAATCATTTTACTTTATCCAATTTTTACGGAACTTTTTATGTAAAAAAAAAAAAAAAGGAAAAAAAAAAAAAGGAAAAAAATTAAATAAAAAGAAAAAATGACAAAAAATCAACACCAGCCCCGGACCCAAAAGAGGTTTGGCATGGCCGGGGTGGGGGGGACCTGGCAGTGCCACCGGTGGGGAGATGGGTGGTCTGTCCCCCTCACTCTTAGACCCCCCCTGTCACCATTAGCATCCCCATAAGTCCCTGTGAGTGGAACAGGATGGGGTTTTGCGGTGACCCAGCTCAGGGCAGGGGTGCCTGTGTGTGTTTTGGGGTGGAAGTGTCTCTTTCCTGTCGTGCAGTGTCTCCCAGTGGCACCCGCCCTGAGGTCTTTGGGGGTCTTGTCCCATCCCTCCAGTGCTACCCACCTCCCTGCTGTGTTTATGGGGACAGGTGTGGGACACGCGCTGGGGGACACATAGACACTTGGGGACACACTTGGATGCCCGAGGACACAGAGCTTGGGGACACATCCTGGTGACACATGCTTATGTGGATACAAAGACACCTGAGGGGACACATGGACACGTGGGGACACGCAGCTCAGGGACATATGGATACTTGAGGGGACACATCCTGGGGACAGATGCTTGTGGGGGACACACAGACACCTGAGGGGACACATCCTGGCGACACACACCAGGGACACACAGCCCAAGGACACATGGATGCTTGAGGACACACATCCTAGTTACACCCATGTGGGGACACACACGGACACTGAGGGGGACACATCCCACGGAGATGCGCTTATGAGGACGCATGGACAACTGAGGATACACATCCTGGGGACAGGACACCTGGGGACATCCAGAAGCTTGAGGACGCATCCCAGTAACATACTTGTGGGAACAAATGGACACCAATGGGCACACAGCTGAGGGGACACATCCTGTGGACACGAGCTTGTGGGGACACAAGGACACTGAGGACACC